GGGGGGGGACGGAATGAAATTCGTATCCTCCAAAAACGAGATTTAGCGTTTTATCCATGACCTCAGAGAGATGGAGCTTCAAATTTGCTGGGGCAATTCTGGGGTGAGAGAGGAAGAAGTATGCCAAATTTCGTTCCTGTTGATTTTCTCAGAGAGGAATACGAGGAGGTTGAATTTTGCTGAGGGGAAGGGACGGTTAACGATTGATCAACGATTGATTGATTGATTGACTATCGATCGATGTGCTGGGACATGGAGATATCTCATCCGGACATCCCTGAATTAACAGGTTGGCGCGTACAATGGACTCCATGCTGCTCGAAGGAATTCTCTTCTCAGACCTATTCGAGTTGGTTCGAGGAACTTCCGATAGGCCTAACGTTCCACGTCCCACTGCAATGGTTCATGAAACGCGAAACTGGCCTCCAATCGGTCTAACCTTGCACGTCCTCGCTGAAATGGTTCGTGACGGTATGAATAGGTCTGCGATTGGCCTAACGTTATACGTCCTCGACCAGATGTCTCGAAGACCACGATTCACCCTCATAGGCCTAATTGGCACCGTAAGTCTAGAATTGAGTTTCTTTTGAAAAGAAAAAGGTAATCCTTGGCGTAACCTAAAGACAGTCTGTTGGTTAGGCCTTGGCCTAACGTTAGTGAGTCCCGTTGAGAGGCGGGGGGGGGGGGGGGGGTTGAAGAAAGGGAAAGCCATTGAAAATTGGCTGTCACATCGCTACATATCCTCGCTGCGGAGGGTGAGGCCTCATGCATCTTCCGACGGCAAAACCTCTACGATGATCGGTGCTCGAAGTGGAGTGCGCTGTCCGAACGTGTAAACCGATATAGAAGCGGACGCACGTCAGTTTGATGACCCTCGCTCGGGCCGCCCCAGCACGTCTGATGTCGACGACGGCAGCCGCAACATTCAACGATGGTTTGGTACCATACCGTTCTGGAGACCGAAGGCCTCACGTGAGGCCTTCGCCCAACGCGCTCGGATCGGTCGTGTTTCGATCGAGAAGCATATAAAACAAAGGTGCGTCTGAATTCGGTCAACATCATGAGGATCTTTCGAAAATTAAATGACTTACATATCGCAGAGGACATGTTCTCTCGTGTGGCGATCCCGACGTTGTTTACGAGGTTTCACCATTCGCGTAAATCTTTTGGCTGTGAAAAATACTAAAGCGACAATTCAATCTCCTTCACTGTTCGGCTGCCGAAACTGTCATTTTTATGGTTGGGTTCCCTAATACCTTTAATCAACTTTCAAACGTTGAAAGTCATTTTCGTCCCATTCACGTAAAAAAAAAATAATAAAGATAAGAAATGTTCCGTTGAATCGTTCGGGGGTTGCGCACTTCATACGCCACCAGACAATCGAATATATATTGATTGACATTTCGGTTACCGTTTTTTTTTCCCTATTTTTAAAGAATCCCTCAGCACCAGTTGGACTTTTTCCTTTTCCCTCCGGATGCTTCTCCAACGATTTCCTTTAAATCTAGAGCATTATTTCGGGTCAACCGCCACGGAAGTTTGTTCGTCAAACATCTCAATATTCTTTCTCCCAGCGAATTTCCGCAACATTCTCACTTTTCCCGAAGGTTCTGGGCTGAGCACGAGCGCGCCGTAAAGGCTTCTCCTGAGTCTCGTGCAGCACGAAATGTAAAGGGACGGATCCAGTCAATCCAGCGATTATTATGGGGTAGAAGGAAAGCCCTATCGTTTTAGGGCAGCCCGTATGTTGAGGCATATATATGTATTGATACATATATATTATATATATATATATATGGTGTGTCATTTCCCTTATTGACGTTATCATCCATAACTCGAGTGATGATTCACCATCACCACATCCGTCGTTGAAGAATCTTCTCATGATAGGTCCCGAAACGACTCCGAGCCCCAAGGACGAGGACGCATCGAGCCAACGCCGCTCGACCGACTGCCTTCTCTCGTGCACGAAGGCGTGGGTCCGGCCCGAAGTGCGTCGAAAAGGGCAGTCGCGCGAGTGCGAAATGGTGCCATGTTGGGGGTGTGTCTTCTCGATCCTCTTCGTCGGATTCCCGGGAGGGTGCCGGATGAGCCAGGAGAAATTTTCGGAGGCAAAATGCTGCCCGGGACCGGACAACCATGCTACATACAACGCGAACGAGGGAGTGGCCAGCTGTCGGGGCGCAGGGGCCTCCCCGACCTCCCCGCCAGATTGCAGGGCCGAGCTCGGAGTCCACTTGTCGAATTCGTCTCACCTCGATTCCATCTCTGCCTCGGGCTCTTTCTGCCACGACGATTTCCTGGTTCGGGAAGGTGACAATGACACGATTCTCGAGGCTTACTTATTCTGTAACTCTGTGAAATCAGACCGGAACCAGGCGAAGAAGACGATCCTTCTCCCGAAATGTTGTCCATTGGAGGAAGGCTTCGATCGAGTTCAAAGAATGTGCGTATCCCGTCCCTTTCACGGGACACTTCCGAGGCTAAATTCAATGGAAGCAGAGACATGGGATCCGTCACGATACTATTATCTCGTCCGTGTCGATGACCTGGCTTCCAACCCCTGTTCCAAGAAGTACTTGAGGCCGGGCAAGGATCCGCGGCAGCATTACGAAGTCCAGGAAACGGGACGCCTTCGCGTCCGGGCCATGAATGACACGTACCCGATCGGGGAATACTGCCTGGATCATTTCCTTCTTGCCAATGGATCCTGGATCCAGATGGCTCTGGCCTGCGATCCGGAGGAGAAGAGGATCCTTCAGGAATGCGAAGACAGGGTGTGTGTCCAAAAGTGCTGCCCCTTGGGTCAGTTTTTGCACAAATCCGAAAAGAGGCCTCAATGCATCCCCGGGGGAGTGGCCTGGGATCACAGGAATCTTTTCGGATCCCATAGTGAAAGTCGAAGTCTTCCCGAGAAGGAAGTCCACAACATCACGAGCTACCCGAAATGCCCGGGTATATCGGGCGCAGGCCATCTGCTGCAGCCAACTGAGGATCCGAGAGACAGTTTCTCTCTGACGTCATCGGGGGCATTGCAAATCGAGGCAGGGATCTCGATCCCGGTTCCCCGATATTGCATCGATTATGCTGGGAACAGCAGCGAAGCAACGCAGCTCGTGGCCCTCGTCTGCGCCATGGAAATTTCGCACGAAGAAAGTGACACGATGTATTTCATCAAATCCGTTCTCATCATTCTTCTGGCCGTATTTCTGCTCCTCACCTTCCTCCTCTACCTGGCTCTGCCCGAGAGCACGAGCGTCCACGGCGTGACTCTTCTCTCCTATGTCGGCTGCCTCTTGGTCGCCAGCGTTGCCCTCATCGTCGGCCAGATCGGAGCCCACAACGGCATCTCCAACTCTTTCTGCCTTGCTTCCGGTACCATTAAAAGCAATCGTTTTATGCCTGGGTTTTCCATCGAATGCCAAAAATTAGCAAAATGAGCGAGGTCGGAAATTACGACGTGGATCTTGTTGATGAATTATTGGGGGGAAAAATTCATAAATGATGAACACAGGTTGAGATTGCTGGTTACCCAAAAGGGCAAAGCTGAATCGCAGTTGTGCTTAGATCAATCGTAAGTAACGGTGGAGAGGTCGAAATAAAACGTGGCGTTCCCATACATGTTTATAGAGTATTGTATTGATATAAACCTCGATAACAATTCTCTATTAATCACGAACATAAGGACTATGAATCCTAAGATACCACAATCGCATTCATTGAAGACTTTATTGGTCGTGATCAAAAATAATATTTTCCCCACTACTATCTCTTCTCGCATAGTTTGAGTTAACCACAATTTTTTAATATTAATTTTTAATTGATTGAAATTTGCGTGGCTAGGTACAAATTTCGGCAAGAGGTTATTGGGACTTTCTTCAGTTTTCATTCTCGTGGACGTTTTTATGCTGACGTCCCCACTTCCCAACGATGACGATCTCATTTCACCCTTCCAGTCCTGCTCACCTTCTACGGGTACCTCGCCGCATTCTTCTGGCTCAACGTCATGAGCTTCGACGTCTGGTTCACCGTCAGGTGAGGGACCAGACGGAGCGGATGGTTTCGGTCGTCTCGACCCTAAAAATTTCTTTCCACTTTCCATGCGTTCCTTCCAGTCCGCATTCTTCTCTCTTTTGAAACCATGGACGGGGTCTTCTGGACCTTTTTTGCATCACTCCTGTCTCGTTCGATTTTTGACTCCCTAAGGTATTTGAAGACTACTACATCCAGGAGAGAGAGAAACATGAAGTTGATCGGCTACAACCTCTATGCGTATGGAGCATCCGCCGTCATCTTCATAATAGCATGCATCCTGGAATTCACTCCCGGTATACCTCCTCACATCATCAAACTGGACGTGGACCCCGAGCAACGATGCGGGTTCAACGGTACTCAATCCCATTCATCCAATTAGCCCAAAAGGAGCAATCCCGTATATACTTACGTGGTCACTGAAAGAGACTAATACGCCTAATAATAGGGTCATTCCGGTCGAAATCGACGCATCCTTCGATATAGTTTGAATATCTAGGGTCCTTTGAGATGTTAATCCCTACTAATTTTCTGTTTCCCTGGTCAAGTCCATTTTGAGGCACGGCGATTCGAATCTAGCCAAAACGTGCAGATTCTGCTCCGGTGCCCAGTAGTAAGTTCACGGAGACCAAAACAAGATTAATTGTTTAGATCTCAGTAAAGTTTAAAAAAAAATGCGAAAATATAAAATAAATATAAAGTAATTCAAATACACAAAATAAGGGGCAGAAGTCTGAAGGTTTTACCTTTTGACTTTATTTCAGAGGAGAAGGTGTTCCATTTAAATGATTGAAAATTATCGTAATGTTCCCAAAAATTTTATTTCACATTGTCCTATGTTATACAGCTATACAGCATATAAAACTTCTCCAAACTTTAAAAGTTCCGCTTCAGGCTGCATCAAAAATGTTTAGCTGTGAATATATACCGTATATGATGAACTTAAGAAAAGTTAATAATATTTATATTCATTAGAAAAATTATTATATTCATTCAGCTACCCAAGAAGCATTCACGTTTTGCTAGTCGACGTTGATCGACTTCTGTCCCATAGCGTTCAAACGACCTAAAACAGCTGAAATGTTGAACACCCACCCCCTCCTTCCCCCCCCCCCCCCCCCCCCCCCCCCCCCC